TTTTTTTTTTAATTAAAAAAAAAAAAATAAATAAATAAAATGGAATTTAAACTGGTCTGTGCCATTAAGTCTTGTAACAAGACAATTTCCACATCCCAGCCTAGCATCCATTGCTGGTTATGTGAAAACGTCGTGCACGCCAAGTGTGCCGGTTTCACTGCATCAGTTTCGGATGCCATTTCCCGTAGGTCTGGGATACATTATTGTTGTGAAAATTGTCGTGCTGTGCAAGGCGAAATGAGGTCGTTCATGAGACAGACCAAAAATGGATTTAAAGAGCTGATCACTGGTTTTCGTAAAATCAATGACCAGCTCTGTGCGCTTGACACTCAATTTAGCGGCCTTCAGCTGCTAAATGAGTCCCCTAAGCGTAAGAAATCCGCTGTTTCTGATCCGCCTCAGCCTGCTCAGCCGACATTAATGCAGCCGCTTATATCTCTGGCCACCCCAAGGGCTAGAACTAAGAAAAATTCGTCAGAATTTCTCAGGGATAATGAGCAATTGTCCGATATGTCCGCCATGGCATCCCTTTAAGTGATGCCACAGGTCCTAGGGAACGAAACCCCCATTAGAGTCACCCGAAAGGGTATTCCACAGTCCGGACCACCGGCACCGACTGATGCTGCAGTTCTTGTACCTGCGACACCAAAACCCTTACAGGTGATTCCTCCATCGAAACATATATTTGTTTCTCGGCTTGCCCCTGATACTTCAGAGATTGATATCTCGGCTTATATCAAAGCCAAAACTAAAGCCGATATAAAGGTGGAGGACATACAAAAATTTAAATATAATTATACAAGGCGCACGTCTTCTTTCAAGATTCGTGTGCCCGCGCTGATGTTCAAGACGATTTGTTCTCCCAGTTTTTGGCCAGAAAATCTTGTCGTCCAAGAACATCAGCCTAGTTCCGTAAAAAAAAGTTAATAAGCCAGTGGGAGTGAGACTTCCCAATATCGGAACCACTGACCAACCCTCCACCTCTTCTTTGGCCACTAACCCAAAAACTAGTTTCCTCACTAACTCTTACCTATCAGAATACTAGGGGGCTACGTAGCAAACTCCCCAAGCTATATTCTGATAGTTCTTTCTTTGCATCCCATATAATAGCATTTACAGAAACTTGGTTAAATCCGGAGATCTTTAGCTCCGAAGTTTTTCCAAGTAAGTACACCACTTTTAGACGGGATCGATCTCAGCGAAGAGGAGGTGGAGTCCTCATTTCGGTAGACTCTACTTTTGCTTCTGAAGAGGTGAAATCCCAAGAGTTTGGTGACATAGAATTTATTTGCGTTAAAATCACTATGTCCGTGAAAGCTTTATACATTACATGTTCATATATACCTCCTATGTCTGAACCGCCCACATATTGGCAGCATTTGTCCGCTATTCGATACGTCTCTAATCTTATGACGGATCGTGACCAACTCGTAGCGGTGGGCGACTTTAATATCCCAGAATTAAAGTGGTCCAACGTCGATAACTCACCATCTTTGTCACTTATAACTTACCATGACTTCACCGCGGGCATGTTTGACATGTCCCTAGGTCAGATCAATCATGTTAGAAATTCGCTAGGTCGGCTCTTAGACTTATGTTTTGTATCTGATCCTGATGGTACCGCTCTCTCCAGAGCTTTTCCCCTTTCAACCCCAGAGGATCGATATCACCCCACGCTGGAGGTCTCAATCGAAACCACTCCTGGTATCGATCAGATGTCTCCGAGCGTGGTAAATAAGATTCGCTGTTTCCGTAAAGCTGATTTTCAGAAAATTAATAGCCTTATCGATACATTTGACTGGTCTGATATTCTGGCGTGCACTGATCTTAATGTCACTTTAGAAAAATTGTATTTTACTTTAAATACATTTTTTGACTCATGTGTGCCTTGGAAACATCCGTCCGCTTCAACAAATCCTCCTTGGTATACAAGGTGCCTCACTAACCTAAAAAATAAAAAAAAATAAGCTTTTACTTAAATATAAAAAAGCCTGCAGTAGTGTTGATTTCTCAAGATACCTACTAGCTCGGTCGAATTTTACCGTGCATAACGCTGAATGTTATAGGAATTATATTGACCGCTGCCGGATTCAATTTACTCAGGATCCAAAGCAGTTTTATAATTTTGTAAACACTAAGCGTAAACACGTATCTTTTTCACCCCTGCTTACGTTTGAAAATTCCTCTGCGACTTCGGATCAGGCCATTGCCGATCTATTCGCAGAATTTTTTCAAACAACTTATTCTCCTCCTAAATTGACTGATCAGCCTTACGCATATAACATTCAAGCAGCAAATCTTATTTTCTGTCCGTTTTTTTCTGAGAACAACTTATTATCTGGTCTTTTAAGGGTAAAACCCATTTATTCGCCAGGCCCCGACGGAGTACCAGGGTGTGTGCTAAAATACTGCGCCAGGGCTCTGTGCAAACCTCTTCTAAGACTTTTCAACTTATCTTTGGAAACCTCGATTTTTTCCCTTAAGTGGAAGAAATCATTTATAATTCCCCTACATAAAAAAGGGAAAAAGTCCGAGGCTGCCAACTACAGAGGCATCTCTAAGTTGTCGGCAATTCCAAAGTTATTTGAAAAATTAATTACCCTCATTTGCAACACCTTTGCTCTTCGATTATCACTCCTTGTCAGCATGGCTTTATTAAGCGTCGCTCCACCACCACAAACTTATTGGAGTTGACATCCTTTGTCATAGACGGCTTTTGTAAGGGATATCAAACCGATGTAATTTACACAGACTTCAGAAAAGCAGTTGATTCAGTTAATCACTCACTCTTGTTGAGTAAACTGAATATGCTGGGTTTTCCTAAAGACCTCTTAACGTGGATCTCCAGCTACCTAGATGGAAGGACACAAAGAGTCTTATTTAAAAACATACAGTCCCGTCTGGTCCGTGCTACATCTGGCGTCCCTCAAGGAAGTCATCTTGGCCCGTTATTATTTACGCTTTTTATAAACGACTTGCCCCCTTTTTTAACGAACTCTCTAGTTCTTATGTATGCAAATGATGTAAAGCTTTGTCTTCAGTACAAATCCATCTCTGCCCAATGCAGTCTTCCACCAAAAAACCAAAAAATGGTGTTTAGCTAATGATCTAATACTTAATGAATCAAAATGCAAACATATGTCTTTTTATCGTTCTTGCCCTCTGCAAGCTACGTATTCTATTAATGGGATTGCCTTAAAAAAATTAACCCAGGTTAATGATCTCGGCATCCTATTAGACATCAAACTTAAATTTGCCGACCATATTTCCTTAATGGTTAATAAGGCTAAAGGAGTCCTTGGTTTTATCAAAAGGTGGTCAAAAGAATTTAATGACCCTTATATAACCAAAACATTATTTATTTCCTTGGTCCTATACTAGAGTACGGTTCATGTGTCTGGAGTCCCCAATAAGGAGTACATAAGGACCGCATAGAATCCGTACAAAAGAACTTTTTAATATTTGCACTTAGAGGTCTATACTGGGATGCAAATCTTCAGCTTCCATCCTACAGTAGCAGACTTTTACTTATAAACTTACCTAGCTTAACAAATCGTAGGAAAATGCTCGGTGTAGTTTTTCTGAATTACCTTATTAACGGGGATGTAGATAGCCAGCATTTACTAACACGCTTATATTTCAACATTCCTAATAGAAGGACTCGAAACTTTAGTCCTCTGTTCCTTAGCCGTTGTAGTTCGACATATGCACTGCATGACCCTTTTAGGGTATTATGTTCGAACTACAATAGTCTCTACTCTATTACATCTCTTTCCTGTCCCTCTAATTTAAAATATAGAATTTTAAATTTCCTTACTAACTCCTCTTAGCTTAACAAATTTCAATTAGCTTAATATGTACTAACAAATAGCGCCCCTCGGTCGTCTGGGCCTCTAAGCTTTATGATGAATACAGGAATGCTAGCTGATGCTCTTATTGATGCACAAGCCATTTCCAAATTCTGAAAGACCGCAAAAAAAAAAAAAAAAAAAAATGTTATCTATTGACTTAGGAGAAACAATATGCCATTGTATATTTCAGATGTTTATACACCATTTATTCGATGATTGTTTCATCCTCTTTTGGTCAAAAGAGTGCAACACACTTGAGGAGACATTTCCGACCCTATAAAGTATAAATATTTTTGATCTGGGTCACCTCCTGAGTTGATATGAGCATGTCCGTCCGTCTGTCTGTATCTACGCGAACTAGTCTCTCAGTTTCAAGACTATCGACTTGAAACTTTGCACACACCCTTCCTTCCTTTTCACGCAGTATATAAGTCAGAACGGCCGGGATTGTCTGACTATATCCTATAGCTGCAATATAACTAATTAATCGGATGTACTAAAACATTGGTGTTTTTAGAGGTAGAAAGTTCGAATTTTTTAGAGTTTGAGTGTACGAATGCTTTTTATTTCGCAAAATAATTTGACATGCCAAAATTTCATAAGGATCGGTCGACTATGGATTGATCGGAAATGCTATGCTAATAACCTTAAATAACAGAAAATTTAATTATATATTAAAAAAAAATAATTTATGTCTCATTCATGTTATGTCTTCTTGCCTTACGAGGAAATCTTCCACCGTGGTTTAATCTTAAAAGTTGGTCGGTCCCCAGAAGTTAAAACATCGGGGTCTACGTTCAACCTTGAATAAGGTTAATTCAAGGATGCAATTGTCAATCTCCCCATGAAATCGCTTAACACATCCACTGCAGGTACCGATATACGGGGTTAATTTTTAGCCATTGTTTTTTTGGAGAGGATAGTTGCACATCCAGCGGTGTATCTGGATATGGTCAAGATTTCTGCGAGAGAGACCCGGTGGACACCGCCCCCCGGTGGCTGAAGGCAAAAAAATAATTATAAAATAATCAAAATGCTTCGATTCATCTTATCAAGATAAGGTAAAAAGTGCAGCAACAATAGGCTTAATGTTGATTATTATTTTGCATATATTTGATTTTTTTTTTGTTTTTTTTTTTTGTATATTACCTTAACCTGTCAAGAATATCCGCGGGTTTTTCCTCACTATGACTTCGTTTCATATAAATTGCTAAAGAATTTTTTTAAGTCTATATAACATGGCAAAAAAATTAATAACATACAATTTTTTTCCAAAAGTAAGACTTCGGAATTGGTACGTTGCATTGTCCAAATTCCTTGCTTTTTAAGCATATATCTGTGCCAAAATAAAACGACAAGCAATAACAGATCATAAATTGCGTTACCATATTTCATAATAAGATCAAAATGTACAGCTTTAGATCTTGATTGGGTTCGTTCAAGAACAATTTTTTGATGCATCATGGATTTTATAAATATCATTGATAATGTATAAGTAATAAGAGTAACCCAAAACGTTTTGGTGGGACGTGGTAATGTTAAAGCTCCCCAACATAGAACTAAAAACGGCATCGGTAATGAAATCATTGATGAATTAGCTGCCTGATTTATAAAGACAGCCAAATAGCATATTGTCTCAGTATTAGCAATTATGGCGTACCACATAGCAATAAGCATTTGAACAAAATCGTTATGGTCAAGGGTGGTAAAATCGTCGCCTTGAGAAATTAGATTAGCCCTTAAGTCATTTGAAGACGCACTAATTTTACTGAAAAAAAAAATTATTTAAATGATTTTTTTTTCTTATTATACTTACTCATTCAAGGATTGGTTTAAGAATTTAAACATTGCAGCCGTATTTGATAATCCGAGCCTATTCATAATACTTATTTCTTGCAATGTTTTCTTTTCCGCTGAAAGAACTTTATGAACAAACCTATAGTTTCTTGATAGTCGGTTTAATCTAAATGTTAGTAAAACAACTAGCTCTGCAGTTAGCTTTATAACGGGATGAGTATCCAAGTCTTTGTTATCAGAGTCCGAGTTGTCCCTAGGAAAATATTCTTTACTGATACTATATTCACGGGATGAAATTGCTTTGTTTCTCTGCTAAATAAAAAATAATAAGCATATTTGAATAACCTGGCATTAAAGTGCAGTAAGACCTTGCATTATAATTTTGTATAAAAGTGTGCAAAATCGTATTAGTATCTTTCCCACTCCATAAAGTCAATACTTTTTTCAGATCCATACACATGCATATTATTAGTTATTATTATCCATTCATATGTATATTATTAGTTTACGCTTGCAGCGTGTATTATAATAGACATCTCCGACCCCACAAAGTGTATATGTTCTTGATCAGGATCACCTCCTGAGTTAATATGGAATATCTGTCTGGCCGTTTGTCTACCTGTTCTGAAAGTTGCAACTTCGTACAGATTATATTTTTGGTCATTTGATCCCATCTACCAAATTGCATAACGATCGTCTGACTATATCCTATAACTCCCATATAACTAAACGATCGGAAATTGTACTTGGTATTTGGTAAAATATTTGGTATTTGGTAAATCGGTGCCCTGCATCATAACAGGAGTGCAGAGACATCTACAAAGTGACCGGCCGATATGGGCAGCCGCCGCCGTATGGACCCACAATTCCCAAGGCCCACAAGACAATTTCCACATCCCAGCCTAGCATCCATTGCTGGCTATGTGAAAACGGCGTACACGCCTAGTGTGCCGGCCTCACTGCCCTTAGTTTCGGATGCCATTTCCCGTAGGTCTGGTTTACATTATTGTTGTGAAAATTGTCGTGCTGTCCGAAATGAGGTCGTTCATGAGAGAGACTAAGAATGGATTTGAAGTGTCAAAATCAATGACCAGCTCTGTGCGCTTGACACTCAGTTTAGCGCTTAACATGACTTCACCGCGGGCATGTTTGACATGTCCCTAGGTCAAATTAACCATGTTAGAAATTCGTAAAGTCGTCTTTAAGACTTATGCTTTGTATCTGATCCTGATGGTACCGCTCTCTCCAGAGCTTTTCCCCTTTCAACCCCTGAGAATCCATATTACCCCACGCTGGAGGTCTCAATCGAACCATTCCTGCTATCGATCAGATGCATCAATGCGTGACAAATAAGATTCGCTGTTTCCCTAAAGATGATTTTCACAAAATTATTCTGGCATGCAACGATCTTAATGTCACCTTAAAAAAATTTTTCTGTACTTTAAATACATTTTTGGGCTCCTGTGTCCTCCTTGGTTTACAAGGTGCCTCACTAACCTTAAAAATACTTAAAATAAGCTTTTACTTAAATATAAAAAAACCTGCAGTAGTATTGATTTTTCAAGATATCTACTAGCTCGGTCAAATTTTACCGTGCATAACGCTGAATGTTACAGGAATTATATTCGCCGCTGCCAGATAAAATTTACTTAGGATCCAAAGCAGTTTTATAATTTTGTAAACACTAAGCGTAAACACGTATCTTTTTCACCCCTGCTTACGTTTGAAAATTCCTCTGCGACTTCGGATCAGGCCATTGCCAATCTATTCGCAGAATTTTTTCAAACAACTTATTCTCCTCCTAAATTGACTGATCAGCCTTACGCATATAACATTCAAGCAGCAAATCTTATTTTCTGTCCGTTTTTTTCTAAGAACAACTTATTATCTGGTCTTTTAAGGGTAAAACCCATTTATTCGCCAGGCCCCGACGGAGTACCAGGGTGTGTGCTAAAATACTGCGCCAGGGCTCTGTGCAAACCTCTTCTAAGACTTTTCAACTTATCTTTGGAAACTTTGATTTTTCCCCTTAAGTGGAAGAAATCATTTATAATTCCCCTACATAAAAAAGGGAAAAAGTCCGAGGGTGCCAACTACAGAGGCATCTCTAAGTTGTCGGCAATTCCAAAGTTATTTAAAAAATTAATTACCCCTCATTTGCAACACCTTTGCTCTTCGATTATCACTCCTTGTCAGCATGGCTTTATTAAGCGTCGCTCCACCACCACAAACTTATTGGAGTTGACATCCTTTGTCATAGACGGCTTTTGTAAGGGATATCAAACCGATGTAATTTACACAGACTTCAGAAAAGCAGTTGATTCAGTTAATCACTCACTCTTGTTGAGTAAACTGAATATGCTGGGTTTTCCTAAAGACCTCTTAACGTGGATCTCCAACTACCTAGATGGAAGGACACAAAGAGTCTTATTTAAAAACATACAGTCCCGTCTGGTCCGTGCTACATCTGGCGTCCCTCAAGGAAGTCATCTTGGCCCGTTATTATTTACGCTTTTTATAAACGACTTGCCCCCTTTTTTAACGAACTCTCTAGTTCTTATGTATGCAAATGATGTAAAGCTTTGTCTTCAGTACAAATCCATCTCTGCCCAATGCAGTCTTCCACCAAAAAACCAAAAAATGGTGTTTAGCTAATGATCTAATACTTAATGGATCAAAATGCAAGCGTATGTATTTTTATCGTTCTTGCCCTCTGCAAGCTACGTATTCTATTAATGGGATTGCCTTAGAGAAATTAACTCAGGTTAATAATCTCGGCGTCCTATTAGACATTAAACATAAGTTTTCCGCCCATATTTCCTTAATGGTTAATAAGGCTAAAGGAGTCCTTGGTGTTATTAAAAGGTGGTCAAAAGAATTTAATGACCCATACATAACTAAAACATTATTTATTTCTTTGGTCCGTCCTATACTGGAGTACGGTTCATGTGTCTGGAGTCCCCAACAGGAGTACATAAGGACCGCATAGAATCCGTGCAAAAGAATTTTTTAATATTCGCACTTAGATGTCTATACTGGGATGCAAATCTTCAGCTTCCATCCTACAGTAGCAGACTTTTTCTTATAAACTTACATAGCTTAACAAATCGTAGGACAATGCTCGGTGTAGTCATTTTGCATAACCTTATTAACGGGGATATAGATAGTCAGAATTTACTAACACGCTTAAAATTTAACATGCCTAATAGAAGAACTCGAAACTTTAGTCCTCTGTTCCTTAGCACTGCATGACCCTTTTAGGGTATTATGTTCGAACTACCTATGCATTGCATGACCCTTTTAGGGTATTATGTTCGAACTACAATGGTCTCTACTCTATTACATCTCTTTTCTGTCCCTCAAATTTAAAATATAGAATTTTAAATTTCCTTACTAACTCCTTTTAGCTTAACAAATTTCAATTAGCTTAATATGTTCTAACAAATCGTTTCTCGAGCTCCCCTCGGTCGTCTGGGCCTCTAAGCTTTATGATGAATACAGGAATGATAGCTGATAGCTGAAGAATTTCCAAATTCTGAAAAACCGCAAAAAAAAAAAAATTTATTTCCAAGGCTTATTGTACCAATTTGTGGTAGGTACCCTAAACTCTGAAAACTTGCAGAGGTAGAGTCTTACTATCGATTTCGAATTGCAGGCTCAGAAGGACGCTCACACAACCGTAGCCAATAGTTTAAATTGACAACAAGAAAGGAAAGCTAACTTCGGGCGGAAGTTGATTTACCCTTGGCAGTTAAAACCGGATATATATCGCAAACATCGGATATAGTTGGCCGATCCTTATGAATACGTCATAATGAAACCAATTAATTACGATAAAAAATCTAAAACAAGAAAGGAAAGCTAACTTTGGGCGGAGCCGAAGTTGATATACCCTTGCAGTTAAAACGGATATATCGGATATAGTTGGGCGATCCTTATGAGAATATGATAATATAACCCAATTTATGATAATATAAAATCTAAAATAAAGTCCCAAAATTCTATCTTCAAAAGTACCAAAGTTAGTATTTCTACCAAAAACCATTTTCGATCGTTGAGTTATATGGCAGCTATGGGATATAGTCGGCCGATCGTTATAAAATTTTGTAGGTTGGATCAACTGACAAAAATAAAATCTGTGCTAAGTTTCAGCTTTCTATCTTCAAAAACACGAAAGTTGGGTCATTTCCGATCATTCAGTTATATGGCAGCTATAGGATATAGTCGGCCGATCCTTATGAAATTTGGCATGTCGTAATGTTTTGCCAAAAATAGCTCTTTTGTCTAAACTAAATATAAACTCTCTAACTCTAAAAACACCAAAGTTATACCATTTCCGATCAATCAGTTATATGGCAGCTATAGGATATAGTCGGCCGATCCTGGCCATTCCGACTTATATACTGCGTGCAAAGGAAAGAAGGGTGTGTGCAAGGTTTCAAGACGTTAGCTTTAAAACTGAGAGACTAGTTTGCGTAGAAACGGACAGACAGACAGACGGACAGACATGCTCATATCAACTCAGGAGGTGATCCTGATCAAGAATATATATACTTTATAGGGTCGGAGATGTCTCCCTCACTGCGTTGCACACTTTTGGACAAAATTATAATACCCTCTGCAAGGGTATAATAACGTATCTGCTCTCACTCTTTCAAAAGTAAATGTTGTTAATAATTTAAGGGGGGACATCTGAGTAGAGTTTTGAAAAAATCGAAAAATTTTTTCTTCGTTAAAAAAATTTTTAAGGGTCTTAAAAATAACATATCAAAAGATAGAGCCCGTCAAAAGTGTCTAAGTGTAGAAATGTTCCATTCTTCGGCGAAGCCATACGGCACTTTAAAAAACCGCTTATCGCTAAAGACCTAAAAAAGTATCTGGGTATGATTAATTTCTATAGGCCGTTTATCCCACGAGCAGCCGAGAACCAGCACATACTCCAGACGTTGATCCAAGGCAATAAAAAGAACGACAAAACCCCGATACTTTGGTCTACAGAAGCCGACTACGCATTCACCGCCTGCAAGAACGGGCTTGCAAACGCTACGTTGCTGAACTACATGGCACTAAACTCACAATTAACTCTAACCACCGATGCATCCGACGACGCTATGGGTGCCGTAGACCATCAACGGGCAGACACAACCACTGGGATTCTTCTCCAGGAAATTCACATCGACGCAAAAGAAGTACAGCACCTACGATAGAGAACTGACTGCCATCTATCAGGCCATTTTGCACTTCAAGTACGCACTGGAGTGCAGAAATTTCGTAATTTTCACCGACCACAAGCCGCTTATGTAAGTTAT